TATGCTCCCATTAGTGCAGCTATCATTTCTTCTTGCATCTTACATATTGAAAGACGCTTATATTTGGCATTAGTTGCCAGTCTTAGCTCATTAGCGTCTTTCGCTTTCCTGATTCCCTCCTTGCAAATTTGGGTTATTTGCTGGTATTCTGTTTTAGTTACCGTATGTGCCCTTCTTTTCATTCTACTTGGAGAATCCAAGCATATGTTAATTTTGGTCTGCTTGCCTAGAGACTGAATTAGAAGAAATCTTGACCACGCCCCCTCTACTTGGTGGAGCTCAGTTACTCAATTCAGTCTGCCTACGAGAGACATAATATTTCTCTTGCTCAGTTGGCAAGAAAATTTATCAGTTTGGAAGTTTTTTGCAGGATACAAGTTAGGTCAGCTAGATCTAATTGTAATTGTTAGTTGGCTGCTTGTGTGCCTGCTGGTTTTCCCGGCCAGCTGGCTAGAACTGCCACCACGTTGATTCGCAGCTGGGCCATCATTGCCTGATCACTTAGGCTAGCCCCCAGCTGATAGGCATCCAATTGACGAACTGGGAGATTGGTGCACTGATCTCAGAGTTTCCTCCGGATTGCTAAATCTGCGGCTTGTGTGTATTTTTCTGGCATTTGGAAGACTGGCTCGCCATCTTCGTGATGCTTAATTGGCCACAGGGTTGTTATTTGGTGTGGGGGAGCTGGTACACCGCTCTCACGCCTGTTTGCTGGATACTGTTTGAATTTCGCGGTAAGAGCCATTTGTTGATCAGTAGCCATTTTTGTTGGGCAGGATTGCAGTCTCAAGCTCATCAGCTACGAAGGAGACAGCGTTGGGCTCCAGCTCTATTCTTTCATCAACTTTGATTGTGACTTTGTTAGAAATTTCGGACTTGTGATTCAGTGCTATGCCTCCTATCGAAGCCTTTTGTTACACCTTGTGTTCACAGAGCCTCGACAATGAATGGGCAGTCTTGTGACTATTGGCCAACCGGTTTCCCGACTTGCAGGGAGCCTGATACGACCCCAGGGTTGTCCCTATACTCATATGGCTAATTGGGCTTGTTCCAGTGTAGTTAGAGCGGACGTTTCTCCTGGGAGCCCACCACCCACAGCGGCATCAACTTCCAGAGTGGATAGCCTACTACTAAGGGAACTAGCAGCAGATCGCGGACAAAGTCCAAATCTGCTGCTGCTGCTGAAAAAGATGCCAAGTGTAAGCAGAGCTTTGGAGAAGTAATTCTCCAAGGATGCAAGAGAAGTGGAAACTACCAGGTCCCCTCCTACGTTGCCCTTGGAGGTGTTGTCCTACCTCTCAGTCCAGGTCTCTCCCCCGGCCTTGGGGTGTCCAGGGATTTGTCCTGATAATGTTTACTTTCAGGGCCTGTCTGCAGAGGATGTAGGCCTAGACCCAGTTCTTCTCCCAGTATTTATGCATTGAGTTTCGGCCCTGTGTCAGAAGCCAGGTATTCCATGCCCAAGGCTACATTTACTCACACGGCAGTGGGGTTCGGAGAACAGCCAACTTTTATGTCTCCCTAGGGAAATCAGGGATCTGATTTCCATTGCCATTTCCCAGGGAGTAGATTCTGAGATCTAGTGTAGGGCTAGAGCTTCCTTGGTCCAGTCAAGGCCATCTCCAGCTCCCCTACGGGATCCTCCTTTTCTATTAAAATCTATACGTAGCGAGGAGGATTTGGGGGAGCAGGAATTATCGGACAATGAGGGCCTGACCCCTGATTGGCCCGCTTTTTCACGGCTTATCAGACCTGTCTTATTCAAGTCCTTGCTATTCAAGGTCAGAGCTACGGAGCTTCACCGCACGTCACTGGTCTGTCATGACAATTAAAAAGCGGATACATTTTGGAATGCAGATTGATAATCCTATGAGCGCAGAGATCTCTCTTTGCTTCCATAGTATTATCTTTTTGCAGCCAAACACTAGTAACCTTACATAATTTAATCTAACATAATTGTTCCATTACAATTATTGTCCCCATTTGGGGACTAAGGGATAATGAGCACATCAATTTTCTGACAACTATAGCAGCTTAAGAAATATTAAATGCAATAGCACATATTGTCAAGATACAAAGAGGCAACACAAGAATCACGTATTAAGCAGCTCTTCCAAGGCCCTTCCAAGTAAATTTGTTCTTTATTGAGTCTATTTGCCTCAAAATGATTTCAGGCGGCAGTTTGCAAAGGCAGTCGTTTAGCTTGTCGCAAACGGAAAGCATCGAAGAACCTATGAGGAAAGCATGGAAGAACGTATGATGTAAACCTTGTGCTTCTCTGTGGAAGAGAAATGACACTGTGGCTCTAGGAACCTAGGAGGTGGGGATGTGAGAACTAGCAAAAGGATGTGGTCTTTACACTACCATTAGTCCTTGTTCTTACAATAGTTTGTTTAGTGCCAGTTCAAAGTTACAACGACACTGAAAAAAGTGACTGACCGTTGCAACATCTAAATTTCCTGACAGAACAATCCACCCATGGAACAGAAGTTGTGGGAGCTTCGTCACTGGAGGCTTTCGAGAAGAGACTGGGCTGCCATTTGTCAGAAATGGTGTACAGACTCCTTGGGCAGGGTGGGGTTGGACTAGATGACCTACAAGGTCCCTTCAAACTCTGTTAATCTGTTAAACGTTGTGGCTCCTTAAAGCCTGCTCTTCCGCGCCTTCTTTTTCAAATCGCAACTAAAGGCAAACCCAGGAAAAGTTCAGCTCAACCGATTCTAGCGCCACCCATCCCTAAGGGGAACCCAAACGTGGTTTTGGCAAACAGCGCCCCTTCCCTTCCACTCATGCGACCACTGGCGGCCCCACTCCTCGGCTCCCCCGAACCGTCTCACTAAAGCTTCCCAAAACGAACCGGAAACCGGCGGACGCACATGACCCCGCTAGAGTAAAACGCCGCCCTCGCTTTCCCTTCCTAGCGTTTTTTTTTTCCTCCCGTAGCTCTCGCAATCCGTGACGGAACTGGTCGCGGAAACCAGGCTTTGCAAGCGGAGGAGGAGGAGGAGTGCCTCGGTAGCGGGGGTCCTGGTCAGCGGGGAAGGATCCGAGGGTGCGGGTAGGGGGTTATAGCAAAGAAGCGGGATGGAGTGGAAGGGGAGCCGAGTCGGCAAAGGGGAGGGCGGCGCTGGAAGCGCGTTGTGTATCGCGGTGATCTTCTTGCTTTCCGCTCTTGAGGTTCTGTGACGTCAGCCGATCGCTAGCACCCCTATAGCGAGAACTGGAAGGTGCTCCTGCGCTTTGGACGCCTTTGAGCTCGCCCTGTTCATATCAAGGGAAATGCCTCGGCCTTTTCAACAGGCTCCGCGCTTGCTTTTTAAAAACCACGAATAGGCAGCTCGCCTCATTGGGTGGGTTCCAAAGTTTCTTCCAGCAAAGGCGCTCTTTTATCGCACGGCTATTCTTTTTGTTCTGGAGAAAATATTTATCTATATGGGGTCTCTAGAAGTCGGAAATGGTTTGGTGGCACGTACCCGATTGTTTTTGTTACACCGACAAAGCTTAGAGGATCCCTGTAGTAAGTATTTCGTGGGTGGGTGGGTGAATGCGTGAGTGGGTGGGGTCGCAGCAGTGAATGGATACTATTTGTGACCCAAGTCAGATCTAAATGGTTCCTTTTTCTCTGCTATTTTATCTTTACGACTTTGGTCATTTGGCTCTCTGTTCTACTGTTCCAAAGAGTTAGTGTGTCTAGCTTTTGAAGCCTCTTAAGTTAACAATCTAAGGATATTTTTGCAAGAACTTTTGAATTAATAGCATATGAAATATGTAAGTAGTTTAGGGAAATTAGAAAGTTAGGCAGGACAATAATTTGTGAGACAGACAGACATACAGACAGACCCACCCACCCATATCCTGGCCTATATTTTTCACCCATATCCTTGATAGATAAAATAATTTCCAAGTAAATCAGATTTAGGAAGGGGAAACCTTGCTAATTTTAATAAATGTTCATAGGAGACCAAAATTAATGATCAATTCATGAAAATTTATAGCACAGTCAGAAAAAAAAATTCCTCCCTTTTTAAATAGAAAGTAAGTACTATATTTCTTTGACTCTTAGTGAACAGCATGAATTATTATTATTTTTGCTTCTCGCAAAAGCTTGCATACATTTCTCTGATTATTCAGAAAATAAAATTATATCAGAGATACCAATTGCACCTGGCCTTTTGGAAGACTTTACTGTCTAAGGCAGTGTTTCTCAAGCGTGTCAACTTGAAGATGTCTGGACTTCAGAATTCCCCGCTGGCTGGGGAATTCTGGGAGTTGAAGTCCAGACATCTTCAAGTTGACAAGCTTGAGAAACACTGGTCTAAGGTAAAAGCTGTCTCCAGCCTCCTGTCCTTCTGCAAAAGAGCCTAAGGACCTGACTCTGCTGGTTGGTCTGGGGATCACATTGGAAGTGGCTCCCCTCCTCTTCCCTTGCTCTCTGCCCTCCAACCATCCATCTTTTTGGTTATCCTATTGATGTATTTATTTTTGTTGTGTTCCTTTGTCATTGTTTACTTTATTCTATTGTACTCCTGTTCTATTTATGCCCCTTTCATTTTTCTTCCTTTTTATTATTACAAGTTGCTTAGAATAGCCCTACAGTGAGATAAGTGGCAAATAAATGTAATAAATAAATGAGGTGAAAATATAACAGAATATATAAAACGTAACAGAGTCATATAAAAATATAACAGAGCCAAGGTGGCACAGTTGTTAAGAGTGCAGTACTGCAAGCTACTTCAGCTGACAGTTCGCCAGGTCAGATCTCACTGGCTCAAGGTTGACTCAGCCTTCCATCCTTCCGAGGTGGGTAAAATGAGGACCCAGATTGTTGAGGACAAGATGCTGACTCTGTAAACCACTTAGAGAAGGCTGTAAAAGCNTGCGCTTTATATGTGGAAAAAGTTTGAAAAATTAACGTTAAGTGATACTGCGGCTTATAATCCGGTGTGGCTTTTGGTCGTGAAAATACGGTAATAACTCTTCTCCCTGCTTGCACTTTCCAGTAATTGTATCTCTGTTGATCAATTTGGGAAGTCCTGTAAGCGAAGTCCGAAGAGCTTCTCTCAAATGCCTTCATTCCTTAAGTGGAGTAGAAGAATCCATATTTCATCCTGTGCTTCAGAGTTTCACGAAGAAAGCTGAGGAAATAATGTCTGATTCAACTTACGTTACCCAGGTAAGCATAGAAGAAGGATGTTGCCTGCTTTGCGATTCTGTATATTTGTGCCCTTCTGGTGAATCAGACACTCGGAGCTCTTCTCCTGGTCTGTTGGAGTCCACATCATTGAAGGAAGTGTTGGTCAGAGACTAGGAAGCATCTTCTCCTCAGGAGCCCTTCTTCTACTTACTTTGAGGAGGTTGTAAATTATCATGACCTGTGGACCAAGGTGAACAAATTATTTTGCTTTGTTGGTCTTTCTTGCAAATGACCAGTGGGGAATTGGAGGCATCCTCACTTAGTATCTGATCAGTTTGTCTAGGTTAGCATTGTCAACAGTCTGATATTTTTGACAGGAGCTTTTTCAGCATTTTCAAAAGATATTAGAAATAGAATCAGAAAACTTTTATGCCGAGCATCCTTTCTTCCACTGATCCATGGCTTTCTTCTTCCCAGTTGTCTCTCTTGCATGAAGTTCTGCAATATTTCGTATCCAACTGAATGGGAGGCTAATCAGATAGGCTTGTGCTTTACTCTGCTTTTTTATTTTTTCAGGATTTCACATTTTTGTTTTGATTGTCTGGGAAAGGGTTATGAGAAAGCAGCTTTAGTATGGCTCCGGATATGCTTTCAAATGCAGAGTAATACCTCAAAGCTCTGGCTGCGGTTTAAGAATAATAATTGACAGCAGCAGAAGATGCCAAGACAGATACAAAGTAAAATACAGAGGTCCTGGCATGGGGCCACTCCTTTCTTAGCTATCCAGAAATTCATATCACTGTGCTAAAGACTGCTCACTTTAGGTGATATTTTTGTTTTATGGATATATACAATACAATACAATAGCAGAGTTGGAAGGGACCTTGGAGGTCTTCTAGTCCAACCCCCTGCCTAGGCAGGAAACCCTATACCATTCCANGATGTGTACCATTTATTATTCTATATAGTAGATTAAGGGAATTGTAATGAACTTTGAACAGCAAGGATTGCCATTTATAGACAATTAAGGGTAATCTAATCCAAGATATGGGAAAATGGAGAGGGAACATGAAATATATTTACCATGGGAAAATATTGAGATTAAAGACAGAATCAAAATTGGGGGTGTGTAAGGATGTATAATTATATAAATATAATGATGAAAATAGCTGGGAATTGTAACCAGGTTTACATCTCGGCCAAATATTGGCTGGCTGGCTGGCTGGGTTTTAAAAGCACAATGACTGTATATGTATCCTTTTTTGTTCTCTTTTTTTTTTTAAAAGGAGGAAGATATATGTCAAAATTAAATATGTATAGTTAAATGTGCAGAAAAAAAAGGAAGTAGAAGAAAGGTAGAAAGAAGGAAAAGAGAAAGCAAAATGGAGAGAAGTGGCTTCCAATCTATTTCACAGCAGTAATAAATAGAATAATATTTTAATATATATATCTCCCCCCTCTCTCTGTTACATCATGACTGTCTTCTTTCTATCATCTATCCTGTCTAATCATCAAACTATAAATCATAACTTCATTCTTTTTCCTTTTTATGCAAAAAGTCCACAAGGGGTTTTTGGTTACCAATATGGTGGTACTTCCAATGTAATCTACTGGATCCCCTTCATAGATTGCCCCTATAACCATGTAGAATGGATGGGGGGAAGCTAACCAGCAGATAGCAAAAACACAATTCAATTTTGAAGCTACTAATATTGTTGGGCAAGCAGGTACAAAAACAGCTGGGAAACAGGCCTCTCATCAGTAAACAGATTTACCATCAGCTTATCAAATATTTACGGGCCAAGGGCTTGACAGCACAAGGAAACAATAGCCAACAGCTTAATAGCCAATCATCAACACCTCAATCAACACCTAAAAAGCCACAACAACCAGGTATACCATATACTGTAAATACAATGCACACAATAGCCCAAAGCAGGCATTCTGGTAAAGAGAAGTTCCCTGAGGATGCGCTCCAGCATGAATCTGAAAGCTCCGAAGACTAAGCCTTAAGTTCTGGTGACTGACTTACATTGTTCAATACCATGAATCCTTTGGTCTTCTTTAAATGTTTCTGATAACTCTAAGTAAGAGAACCATTGACAACTATGTCCCTCCATTAACAGTTGCACTCTTGGTTTTATTTTATATTACCCTTGATAAAATTCTAGTATTGTGTAGTACATTAATCATTTGTCTATTATTTCTTGTCTATAAAATGCTTCTTGTGCTGAGAATCATAAATATATCTATTCTATATTCTCAATATGGCACATCCTATTTTAAATCATTATGGGTTATGATCTGAAAAAGGCTTTAGAATTTGCATTTTTATGTCTCCATACATCAACAAGCTCTAAATTGTTCATCAAATTAAAAAATACTTTTAGTAATTTATCTCATGTAATTTTAATATTTGTCTCAAAAGATCAGTCTTCTTGTGGAGAAATCACTCCATTCCAGTCCCCTATTAGACACCAGTTTTCATAGGAAAAGTCTAATAGAGGAACTTTTAAGTCATTCATAAAATGTTTCTGTGTCCTCATTTAGGTCATAAATTCCATTCAATTCTATTCTAATTTCCAAAATGTTTTTTATTCTCTTTATTCTATAAACTTTATCACTGCCTATATGTTCATTCAATCCCATTGGGAAAAAAAAGATTAAAGCTTTTCTCTGAAACTGTTATCAGAATCCTCCAGAATTAGAATCTCAAGCAGAATTCTTTCTCTCTCAATTCTAATAATGTCAAATTACCTAAATATTTTCTCTTTCCCTGTTGATAGCTTCTGTCTTGCTTTCCAAAATTTCCACATTATCATTAATTTATCTTACATCTGCTATTTTCCTTGCATATTTTTCAATGTTAATATCTTCTTTCATTTTCTTTTCTCTTTACAAATGTTTTTCCATTCTCTCTTCAAAAGCTACAAAGTTAGCATTTATTGATTCAGATACCTCCCTTGTCTAATTCCAATTTTCACAACATTTGCTTATTCAATTTATAAGACACCAAATCACAATCCACTCTAAAGTTTAAAACAAATGATAAAAACCAAGAGAAAAAGTATTGATTAACATATACTAATACATACAGTTGTGGTTTAATTTCTTAACCAGCTGTAAGACAAACCATGTTTTAGCATGATCTGTCATTAAGACTCAAATATTCTGTAGTCAGTAAATAAGTTTATTCAATGTTCAGCTTTCTACCCATTTTCTAAAAATTATGCTCATGTTGAGATCATCTTAAAAGGATAAACTTCTTTTTAAATTTAGGGTCATACATTTTTGATTGTAAATAACAATTCTTTGGAAATGAGCTTTCAGTTTGAATCTGCAGTAAATCTGCAGTAAGTAATGAATATTTAACTATGAAACCTTTTCTGCTGCAGCATCTGCCCTCTGGAATGAGGTTTCTTCTGAGATCCAGATGGCCTACTACCTTGCTAATATTGCCCCCAACTCGACAAACTGGGTCTTTGCCCAGGCCTTTGACAAGGGCAATTGAAAACATTCTGCGTAATGTAATTTTGCTTTGGTTATTGTCTGGTTTGTTCCATCTGTTGCCATCTCTTGTTCTTTCTCTTTATAATTATATTCAGAGGAGGGTTGCTAATTTTTTTACTACCTGTTTGGGCGTGCTCCCGCATGACACTTCTGTGTGTGTGCAGAAGGGTCTGGTCGGATGGGCGAAGCCTCCCCCCACTGCTATTACCAGTTCAGCTGATCCAGGCTGAACTAGCAGCAATCCATCTCTGATTATATTACTTTTATTGCTCTGCATGTTTTTATTTCTGAACTATCCAGTGTTGCTAGGAGTTGGGTGGAATAAAATAAATAAATAAATAAATAAATAAATAAGATTAGTTAGTTACAGGCAGGAAAATGTTATTCTATTATTTCAGTGACGTGAGGTGAGGTTTATACTGGTGAGGCACTGACACAGGGGTTTCAAATTTTTTTAGACTTGTGGACTTCAACTCCCAGAATTCCACAGCCAGGCATGCACAGTTCCGATTTAAAGTGACAGCATTTCCCCCCTTGCGAAATAAGTTTTCCTTCATTCTTTTTCTTCTCCCTCCCCCTCTTTCCTTCCTCTCTCCCTTCCCCCCCCTCTCTCAAACAGACACATGCACACAGAGAAGTTGGATCCCTCTCTCACTCACTCTCNCGAGACGGAATCCCTGGGAGGTTTTCCTGAACAAACTTTCGCTTTCCTCCCCGCCCCTCTCACCTGTTCAGCCTGGACGTCTGCCAAACAATTATGACGACAACTCAATACGCTTCCCCACTTTATTGGCCAATCGCCAGCCTGCTCCTGATTGATGCTCTGTAGACCAACGTGAGAGTGTTGTTTTTTGTCTGCCATTTCCGAAAAGCGTGGCGCAGGTTGGGGATCGCGGCCAGGATGGCTCTGCGCTCTGCGCCCCTGTTGCTCTTGGTGTTAGTGTTGGTGGCCCTCCGGGAGATTTGCTTCGGTGAGTCCTTTTGGGGGCATCGGGGGTTCCTCCCCCTTTTTCTGCTAGTAGGAAATCTCTCTCTTTCTCCCCGCCCCCCCTCCCCAAACAGATTATTCTGAAAAAAGGATTCTTGGTTCGGTTGTCTTTTTAGTCCGCTCTGGATGCTTTCGGAACACGCCTTAAAGGTTGCCTGGACTCGGCTGCTGCCACTCCCCCCCCCCTAGCCCCTCTGGGAACAGGACAAGGGTCGCCCCTCCAGATGCCAGCCAGGTCTACTTGGGCGACCCCAAGCCCAGTTCTTTCCCTCCCCCAAAGTGGAGGATGCTGGAAAGCAGCGTTTTCAGAGGATCAGGTCAATTTACTCACTTTCTGGATGCCTTTGCTCAACCCCCTCCGCCTGGGGCGTCTTATTTGGAGGGGGGGCTTTGTAGTTTTTTTCTGGGTGCTGGGAGGACCCAGCCCATTTCTCAGAAGGCTTGTGTGTTATATGCCAACTGAGAGGTTGTTGCAATGGAGAAATTAGGTTCAGGTTGGAGTGTGAATGCTGCAGGGTCGGAGTCTAGCGAGAAAAACTGGAATAATAATCTTCCTAAAGATCTTTTTTTCTTTGAGTTTCATTTTCTCCCCTGTATCCCATCCTAAAGCCCAACAACCCCAGAGCTGTTTTTCTGGGACAGGCAGAGATTTGCCTCCTCAGATGTTCCTTCTTCCATTTCAGAAGCCCCCCCCCCCCAGTAAGAGAGAGTTTGCAAAGTTAAAAATACAGTGGTCCTCGACTTACATCCATGCCTGAACCCAAAAATTCGATTCTTGGGCGAGACATTTGTCTTATGTGAGATTTGCCCCATTTTTACACCTTCCTTGCCTCCGTTGTTAAGTGAATCTGACTTTCCCCCATGGACTTTGCTTGCCAGAAGTTCACAAAAGGGGATCACGTGTCCCTGGGACACACCAACCGTTGTAAATATGAACCAGTTGCCAAACATCTGAATTTTGATCAAGTAATCGTGGTCATGAGTCACTTTTTTCAGAGCCATTGTAACTGAACGGTCACTAAATGAACTGCTGTAAGTCGAGGACTACTTATATTTAAAATGTATTGTTATTCCTTAGTAATCAGGAAGTGTCC